CCACTGTGGTTTTATTACTTTTTTTTCCAGCTGCCAAAAGACATTCTTGTCATTCTATTTCTAGAAAATTACCTGTATTGTGGTATTTGCTATTCCTATTTTATAAGGGAGGTATGAAAATCAATACAAACCCTTTCACAATTCTAAAATAATTACTCAGACTTAAAAAAAAAAAAAGAACCTACCGTAAATCTAAATCTCATTCAGGCTTTTCATGGAAGAAGCTATAAAAGCTTAAAAAATAGATGACATCAATCTACATAGATGGTTATGAAAAAAACTCTAGATATATTCTAGTGAAAAAAGCAACATGTAGAATACTGCACAAACTTGCTCCTATTGGTATGAATACAAACTAAAGAGTGTTTCTTTATATATTTATATACGTATAAGATATTGGTGTAGGAATATTGAAGGAACTTAGTTATAATGCTGGAGAAAGCCAGAGCAAGTAGTGTATTTCACATCTCCTTAGTCGCTTTTGATCTGGAAGGGTTTTGAGTCCATCTGTCTGTTTCATAACATTGATCTCTTTGAAGAGTAGAGGGTAGTTATTTTGTAGATTGTCCTTCAGATAGGTTTGTCTGATGTTCCCTCATGATTTGGTTCAGGTCTGCCTCTTAGCAGGATTAGCAGAGAAGTGATGCTAAATACTTGGTGAACCACATCAAAAGACACGTGCTATTGGTGACCATCACTACTGGAAACAGAAACTGGGGTCACTTAGTGAAGGCGATGCCTGCCAGAGGACTCTCCACTGTAAAAAATGCTGTTATTCTTCTAAATTAATCTCCACAAATTTTTCATTAAACATAGGGATAGACTGAAGACTTGCATTCACACAAGAACTCCAAACTTTTCTGTCCCACACTTCATTCCCCTGGAAGCTGCTGAAAAATATAATCCACCAGGGCAAGGGACTGACCTCTGAAGGAAAAGCACCTGGCAAGCTGGGAAAGGGAAAGCACCTCAAGGGAGACACCAAAGGACTCCTCGAGATGACGTCTGGGCAACAGCCTAGGGAGCAGCTCCTCTGGATCAGAGCGGGTCAGAGGCTCCCCACGGGGCTCCTACAAGACCCAAGTGCTGGAAGGCCAGGTGTATGTGACTGAATTAAGGGAGTGTCCAGACAATTTTGGATATAGTTTAGGAATAAAATAAACACAAGGAGGTGGAGAAAAAAGAAAATACATGAGACAATAAATAAAATCTTAAAAAAAAATACTTGAGACAATGATAAACAGTGGAAGAATACTATGTGCACAGAACAGGAAAGTAATCAGTATATCTTGCATAGTTCAGATTTGAATAGTCTTCAGATATGTTATGGACTGAAGTATGTGTTCATCCCCAATGCATATATTAAAGCTCTAACGACTAGTACCTTAGAATGTGACTATATATTAGAAAGAGGGCCTTGAAAGAGGTAATTCAGGTAAAATGGGGTCATAAAAATGCAACCTTCATCAAGTATGTCTTGTGTCCTTATAAGAGGAGGAGACCCTAGGGATGACGGTACACATAGAAATAAAGACCAAATGTGGAGAAGATGAGAGTTTGCATCTATAAACAAGGGGAGAGTTCTCAGGAGAAACCAAATCTGTTGTATAGCTTGATCTTGGAATTTTAGTCTTGAGAGAAATGAGAAAATAAATTTGTTTTACAGCCACCCATGCTGTGGTTTTTGTTATGTCAGCCCTAGAAAACTAATACAAAATTTAAAAAGTAATATAAAGATAGAAAATTAATTTTTTTAAGGAAATAGCTAATATAGGAGGGGTCAGAGACTGATAAGGGATTGCCCTAAATCCTCATTTTTCAAGTAAGATGTTAGAAGATAATGCATCAGGGGCACCTGGGTGGCTCAGTGGGTTAAAGCCTCTACTTTCGGTTCAGGTCTTGATTCCAGGGTCCTGGGATCGAGCCCCGCGTTGGGCTCTCTGCTCAGCAGGGAGCCTGCTTCCTCCTCTCTCTCTCTGCCTACTTGTGATCTCTGCCTGTCAGATACATAAATAAAATATTTAAAAAAAAAAAAGAAGATAATGCATCGAACTCAATTATGCGTAGGTATCACTATTAGTATATTTGGATTCTAAACAGGAAAGAAGGAAATGGGGACGGAAAGAAGGAGGAGGGAAGAGGAAGGGAAGAGAAGAGAATAAAAAAGATGGAAGAAAATAAAAAAAAGAACAGGAGCAGGAGAGTGGTAAGTCGTTGCTTCTTAGAAACTAGCAATGATTACAGCATTCATAGGTAGGGCCTGTTTTTTGTAGTAAGCCTAGTAAAAAAATGGAAGGTTTATCTTCATGTGTATCTTTACTAGAAATGAAGGTTAGACAAAGGACAAATACTGTTTCTCTGCTCATTGTCACTGCTTAGGAGAAATCCAGTGAGCCACAGTTGCTGGTTTGATGGCACTGAAATTCAGAGGGAAGGCTATCCCTGGAGCCTAACGACAGGGGATGTGGATGGAAGTGTCCAACACTGAAATAGGTTCTACCTGAAGTATAGTTTTTTTGTTGTTGTTGTTTTTAAGATTTTATTTTACTTATTTCACACACAGAGAGAGATCACAAGTTGGCAGAGAGGCAAGCAGAGAGAGAGGGGGAAGCAGGCTCCCAGCTGAGCAGAGAGCCAGGACCCTGAGATCATGGCCTGAGCTGAAGGTAGAGGCTTAACCCACTGAGCCACCCAGGCACCCCTGAAGTTTAGTTTTTTTGATATCTCAAGAACTTGATCTTGCTGACTGGCCTCAGAATGCACCTTCTCAATCTAACAGGTTACTCAGAAGTGGGGTGATTCCCAGCATCTCATTTAATAGCTCATGCATCAGACTTTTTATGAGCTCTCACCACATGTGAGGCACTAAACCAGAAGCCTGGGATGCAAAGATCCCATTAGGAGTCCCCACCATGAGAGAACTGACAGTGCAGAGAGTGGAGAAACAGAAACTGTATATGGTTTATGGACTTCCTCAGTGTATATCACTGTCCATCTATTCAAGGACAGAATGGAAGAGAAATTGCTTTCTCAGCCAAGGTCATCAGGCTGCTAAGCATTATGATTCTTAAGTTTTTTCTGGATCTTTCTGGGAACATACCATTAATATATAAATATATAAGCATAGGAATTTTTTGTTTCTTCATTTATGTTACAGTAAAACATGCTGTGTCTTTGCTTTTCTTACACTTATGCACATCTAGAGATATTTCTGATATATGCATTTCTTGAGTAGATCTATTTCTTCTATCATTTTAAAATATTCACTGCCTCAATGTAAAGACAAAGGGAATATATTTGTGGTAGTTTTTTTTTTTTTTTTGAAGAACTGGTAGTGTAAAACTTTTTTTTTTAAAGGTTTTATTTATTTGACAGATCACAAGTAGGCATAGAGGCAGGTGGGGGGTGGGGGGGAAGCAGGGTCCCCCACTGAGCAGAGAGCCCGAAGCGGGGGGCTCGATCCCAGGACCCTAAGACCATGACCCGAGCCGAAGGCAGAGACTCAATTCTCTGAGCCACCCAGGTGCCCTGGTAGTGTAAAACTTTTATTTGTAAATATTGGAAATGCAAAACCAATTGCAATATATTCCCGTACCTTTCCCAGAAAAATTAAGGAATCACAAATACATTATTACAATTTTAGAAAAAAGGGATGTCTTATGGTAGTTGGAAAACAAAAGCAAATATACCATGCTTCTTAGGATCAGAGTCTCCTAAGAATTAACCTGGGATTATATAATATTCTAAATACTGTTACAGTCACTGCATATAGACAGAACCCCACCCCATCCCTCAAAATCTGGCTTTGGGATCAAGATTGCTGATGCTACTAAAGGGAAGGAAAAATTCTTCTCTATCATCAGGGTCTTCCTTAGTCCACTAATTCTTAGCCCACTAAGAATTAAACTGACATGAGACAGATGAACAGGAGGAAAAAACACAAAATTTTATTATGTGTGCATGGAGGCCCTATATTAAAATTAAATCCCAAAGACATGACCAAAGCAGGCATTTTTAAAAATACATTTTACATAAGGAGACATTAAGTGTGTGAGGAGTTGACAGGACAAAAAAAGTTATGCTGGGGAGTTTCAATTAGTAAGTAATTCTAAACAGAATTTGGGCTACAGTAGTAAAACTGGTGAAAATTAACAAGGGTTACCTTATATAGCCTTCTTGGCTTGAACTTTCCCATCTCTGGTGATAAGGATGTCTCCTTATCTCCTGGTATAGTGTGGGTATCTTTCACAAGAGATTCATTTCCTGCTTTCAGGGGAACGGGAAAGTCTGAGTGTCGTCCTTGCATAAGCTGTGTTTTAAGTAGCTTTAATTTGAAATAATCAATATGCAATTTGGTATATTTTGGGGCGGCTTGCCTTCACTCCCAGGCCACAAACACAGCAGGAGAGTATCAGATGGTTTATTACTCACTTACTGACTTTATGTGGACACCAGGATGGCTACCAATCCAAAAATGGCCTGAGAGAAGGGAGAAAAACGACTAGCTAGGGGTCTTTTGGTGGTTTAGGGGAGGTATGGAGCGGGTGGTAAAAGTTTCTCTGCAGTGGGACCTTGCTTGGTTAGAATCATCCCACCAAGCCCATGAAGGGACACCTAGTCTGTCCTTACAGCTTATCCAGGTGTGGGGCAGAGGGTGAAGCCAGAGAGGCTTTAAGAGGCTTAAAAGACATTAGCTTCAGGGGCACCTGGGTGGCTCAGCCAGTTGAGCCTGACTCTTGGTTTTGGCTCAGGTCAGTCTCAGGGTCATGGAATCAAGCCCCCACTGCCCTCCACCCACCCTTGGGCTCTGAGCTCCTCGGGGAGTCTGCTTAGGGATTCTCTCTGTCCCTCCCCCCTACTTAGTTTCTCTCTCTCTAAAATAAATATTTTTAAAAAGACATCAGCTTCAAACATCAAAAATGAACTCAGACTCTTTATTACAAGTATTTTCTATAAACATAGGAAGAAAATGGACCACATAGGATGCTTTACAAGGTGGTTCAGGATTCATCTTTGACTATACTTATTGAGAGTGATTCTGAAGAAGGTCTAATAGAGAAATAAGGCATAAGTTTTTCTGTAAAAACTTCACTGAATGTATATAAATGTGATCTATTACTCATATTGTAAAATGAAACTTCTCCTAACTCATAGTCCAGAAAAATGCCAATCTGTCGTAGGTTTCCTGAATCCTCTGTGCCAAATGTACTAGTCCAGAACTGAATTTGCCAGCAGCCGTTGTTTGGGGTTGGGGAAAGAAGACCATTTCTGGGGAAAGCTTCCTTACACATACCTAAGGACCATTCCCCTGTGCCTCTTACTTCTACCTGCCAAAAACGCCTGCCCCCATCAAATCCCTCACAACTCAGGACAGCTGGGTAAGAAGTAAATGTTCGGGGATTGCTAGCATGACTTGGTTTCATCATTTGAAATGTTGCAGTTTTCCTGTCTTGTGAGATAAGAAGAGTGTGGTGAGCAGTTTCGGGATCTAGGGTCAAATCTACCTGAAATGCGCTGATCATTTTCTGCAGGCCAAAATACTGTGGGGGGAGACTGCATACCTCCTTCTTTAATTTATATGAAAAGGCCACTGGGGGTTGTAGGCGTTCATAGGTGTTGTGGATACTTTCAATACCCGTCAGTAAATCTAGGTCTGTCTGCAAACACTTGTCTGTTATTTCACTAAGCAGACTCCTTAGTGTGGAGTGGTGGTCTGACATTTGGTTTTTGCTTTCAATTATTTTTTCTTCAACACGATTCTCTTCAATTAGTAACCGAATATGGACTGCACCCTGCTCCTTTCCCAAGAAATGCTTAAATTGTTCAAAATCAGCATGCAGTTTATGTTTTCGATTTTCCACCCTCTGTCTCAACTCAAATAAATTTGAGACTTGCATTTCTAACCCCTTTTCAGTGTCTTCAAGCTGCTTCTTCAAGGGCTCCATGTAGCTTTTGAGCTTCTTCCTGTGGTCAGCCGCAGCTCCCTCGATGGGTGTCAGGGGGTGGCCCCGGTGGCCGGAGGAGACCTTGCACCGGGGACACAGCAGCTCCAGGTCCTTCTCACAGAACAGGGTCAGAGGCTGACCGTGCTGCTCACACAGGGCTTTCCCTTCCTGCAGTCTCCTCTTGCTCCTCCTGGCGGGAAGCTGCTGGACCAAATCGGTCACATGACCTAACTGCACGTTCCTCTTGAAGTTCCTGTCAGGACAGTGGTGGAAGCAGACGGGACAGGGGAGGATGTCCTGTAGGTCTTCCCAGCGCTGGTGGATGCAGGAGCTACAGAAGTTGTGCCCACAGTCAGTGGTCACTGGGTCTCTCAGGTAATCCAGGCAGATGGGGCAGCTGGCCTCGGCTTGGAGCTCAGCCAGGGAGGCTGCAAAGGGCATTGTGCAGGGAGGGTTCTGTCTGAGGAAACTCCTTCAGAAAGGCCTGGATCTGGGGCACCTGGATGGCTCAGAGGGTTAAACCTCTGCCTTCGGCTCTGTTTATGATCTCAGGTCCTGGGATTGAGCCCCGTATTAGCCTCTCTGCTCAGCAGGGAGCCTGCTTCCCCCTCTCTCTGCCTGCCTCTCTGCCTACTTGTGATCTCGGTCTGTCAATTAAATAAAATCTTAAAAAAAAAAAAAGAAAGAAAGAAAAGAAAAGAAAGGCCTGGATCTCTGGGAGCTGGAAAAATTAAGCAGCTGATGACTCTTCAGTCTTCTCTCTGTTCCTTCCAAATCTGCCAGTAGAGGTAGGTTTCCTGGATCTGCAGGAAACTGTGGCCACTCAAGCCTGTCTCTGCTCCCTTCCCTTCAGCTCTGAGGCAGCTGCCAGGAGTTACAGCCTCCAATCAGTCTCTACTCTCTGGCAATTTTGTAACCTTTCCTCAATGGCCGGAAATTGAAGCTTCCTTTGTAATCCTCTTCTTAGGAAAGAGCCACAACTCCAGGCAGGAACAGAAATCAATGATGTAGAGGCACAGTTAGCAAAATCCAGATGTGAGCAACTGAGACAATTCACCCGTTTCTTCTAGAAAATAACAGGAAGGAAAAAAGAATACATATGAAAGACATAAAGAGCATATATTTCATTGACAACATTTTACCAGGTTCATTTACTGTATTCAAATACATTTTTAAAAAGATAATTGTTGTTATTTGGGTCAGTGGATATTTGATGATTTCTTAAAAAGGGTAATGTGATTTGGTTAATGAAGAGACTCTATACTTGGAAACAGTATAATATTTACATAAAAACCCTATGATATCTAGGATTTGCTTCACAATCATGAGGGGTAGGAAGAGTGGGGGTATAATTTGCTGCGTGTGTACATTAGATATTGTTGGCCAAATTGCGTCCCCCCCACAATCATGTTTAAACCTTAACTCCCAGTACGTCAGACTGTGACCCTATTTTTCAAAAAAAGTTTTTTTTTTAAGTTTATTTATTTTTAACTAATCTCTACAACCAGTGTGGGTCTCAAACTAATGACTCTCAGATCAAGAGTCACACGTTCTTCTCACTGAGCCAGCCAGGCACCCTTGTAACCCTCTTTTGTGGTAAGGCCTATAAAGTGATGATTAAGTTAACATGAAGCTGTTCAGGTGAGGCCTAATGCAGTATGACTGTTGTCCTTGTAAGAGAAGGAGATACAGGCATGGACAGGCATATAGGAAAGGCCATGTGAGAACACAGAGGTAGGAAGCCATCTGTAAACCCAGAAGGCCTCAGGACACACCAAACCTACTGACACCTTGATCTTCAACTTCCAGCCTTTAGAATCGTGACAGAACACATTTTTGTTGTTTAAGTCAGGTGGTGTGTGGTATTTGATTATGACAGCCCCGGGAAACTAATACATGGGGTTTATTAAACTATTTTTCTATTTTATAAGCTTAGCATGTTCTATATAAAAACATTTTTAAAAGGGCTAATCATTGTTTTCAGGGTGTTACTGCCCTCTGACAGCCAAGCCAGCTTCTGTCTTCCTTCTTTGAGCCATAACCCTTCTCTCCCTCTGTCTCAAAGTTTCAGATCCCCTTGGTCTCTGTGTCCTAGGGAAACTTAAGAGATTAAAGCAGACTTAAAATATGGGATAAAAATATAGTTAAATTTGGCAAGGTGGATATCTAATTTAAAAAAAAAAAGAACCCTACTGCTGATTATTTTAGGTGGCAATAATGGTATTAGACATCTTCATTTAAAAAAAACAAACCTGGGCCACCTGGGTGGCTCAGTGGGTTAAATCTCTGCCTTCGGCTCAGGTCATGATCTCAGGGTCCTGGGATCGAGTCCCGCATTGGGCTCTCTGCTCAACAGGGAGCCTACTTCCCTTCCTTCTCTCTGCCTGCCTCTCTGCCTACTTGTGATCTCTGTCAAATAAGTAAATAAAATCTTAAAAAACAACAACAACAACAACAAACCTTTCAGGGGTGACTGTTTGGCTCAGTCAGTAGAGTATAAGACTCGGGGTCATGAGTTCAAGTCCCACGTTGAGCATGGAGCCTATTTAAAAAACAATAATAAATTTTAAAAGATTATATGTATCTTCTAGGTAGACATACAAATAGTCACCAGACACATGAAAAAATGTTCTGTATCACTCAGCATCAGGAAAGTACAAATCAAAACCACAATGAGATACCACCTCACTCACTTTGCCACAGAATGGCAAAAATTGAACAAGTCAGGAAATGAGAGATGTTGGCGAGGATGCAGAGAAGGGGGAACCCTCCTACACTGTTGGTGGGAATGCAAGCTGGTACAGCCACTCTGGAAGATAGTATGGAAGTTCCTCAAAAAGTTGAAAATAGAGCTCCCCTATGACCTAGTAGTTTCACAACTGGGTATTTACACCAAAGATACAAATGTAGTGATCCAAAGGGGCACCTGCATGCCAGTGTTTATAGCAGCAATGTCCACAATAGCCAAACTATGGAAAGAGCCCAGATGTCCATCGACAGATGAATGGATAAAGAAGATGTGTACAGGGACGCCTGGGTGGCTCAATTGGTTAAGTGGCTGCCTTCGGCTCAGGTCATGATCCCAGCGTCCTGGGATCGAGTCCCACATAGGGCTCCTTGCTCGGCAGGGAACCTGCTTCTCTCTCTGCCTCTGCCTGCCTCTCGGCCTACTTGTGATCTCTCTCTCTCTCTGACAAATAAATAAATAAAATCTTAAAAAAAAAAAAAAAGATGTGTACATACAACAGAATATACAACAGAATACTACTCAGAATACAACAACAGAATATATACAGAATGTGTGTTTGTGTGTGTGTGTGTGTACACACAACAGAATACTACTCAGCCATCAAAGAAAAAAAATGAAATCTAGCCATTTGCAGCACCGTGGATGGAACTAGAGGATATTATGCTAAGTGAAATAAGTCAGTAAGAGAAAGACAACTATCATATGATCTCACTCATATGTGGAATTGAAGAAACAAAACAGAATATCATAAAGGAAGAGAGGGAAAAATGTAATAATATAAAGTCAGAGAGGGACAAACCATAAGAGACTGTTAAGCATAGGAAACAAACTGGAGGGGAGTGGGTGGAGGGATGGGGTAACTGGGTCATGGACATTAAAGAGAGCACATGATGTAATGAGCACTAGGTGTTATATAAGACTGATGAATCACACTGACCTTTATATCTGAAACCAACAATACATGATATGTTAATTGAATTTAAATAAAAATAAATATATATTTAGGGCACCTGGGTGGCTCAGTTGGTTAAGCAGCTGTCTTCAGCTCAGGTTGTGATCCCAGGGTCCCGGGATTGAGTCCCGCATCCGGCTCCCTGCCCAGGAAGGAGCCTGCTTCCTCCTCTCTCTCTCTGCCTCTCTACTTGTGATCTCTGTCAAATAAATAAAATCTTTTAAAAAAGGTAACTTCTACTACCTACTTCCCTTGAGCTTTCCTTCCATCTCAAAGTCTTCTGCAGGCCTATTCTCTGTGATCCACATTTGCCCACAGTCTCTTTCCATAGCAAATCCCCCACCTTCCCTGTCCCCACTCCTCTACTGGTTTTAATTTTTTTTTTTTTCTACTGGTTTTAAATAACAAGAATTTGGTGTGACACTGAATTCCAGTGTCTGTATGTCTCTTCCTTACTTGGATTGCTTCATTATAGATTTCCTAATTATTCTCAACACTGTTCTCAAAATTAGATCAACATTGGATAAAATCACGTTAAAGTCCCTGGGACACCTAAAGTCTTGCGTTATCACCGAAACAAATTCCATGGCTGATCACAACATAAAAAGAAATTGTGTTTGTGTCCTATGAAAATATCAACAAATATCTAACTGGTCTTCAGTTAAGTAATCACACATCTATAAAACTGTGACCAAAGCTCATTGAGACAGAAGGTGGAACGACAATGAGCATGGGGTCTGGCACCAAGCAGGTCCTCACACAGAAGCCCCTGGGACGTTCCCACACCTCCCTCAGGTGTGGTCCAGGAAAGCAGCAGATGTTGGGTCCCGCACAAACCCACAGCTGCGCCCTTCCCTACCCCTACTGCCTCCTTCTCTGAGCTCACTACATCATCCACCCTGCTGCCTAGAAAAATCTTTTGTGAATGAATGCAACGGAGACTGCCGACCTGTCTGAAACCTCCCAGACCAGACCAAATGGGTCAGGTCAGCTCCCGATTTACTGCCCTCAACCACCGCGGAGAAGTGCCCGCACGGGTCACCCCAGCCCCGCATCCGACGCGTGCTCGACCCTCGCCTTTGCTCCTGCTCTGCTGTGCCCTTCATTCTGGTCCCTTCCCTGAGTCCCCACTCACCTGTGGCCGAAGACACGCTCAGCAGCTCACATTCGGCTCAGGTCTTGGCTCTGTGCTGGATAGGGAGCTGCGCTGAGTTCTTAAGGCCTCAGGGGCACTTGACTCCACCCACCCGGAACCGCAGGCCCCTCCCTTCCTCGCATACACCCTGGTCTTCTCTGTTCCAGGTGGGAATACACAACCCGGCCCACGTTCTCTGTTTACTATTACATTCAGAATCCGACCCGGTTTGGTTTTATACTCTTGTAAGGAGTTTCCTTTCCTTTGTCCCATTGGACAGACTCTGGATGCAATCATCCTCAGGATGCAGGCTCCTGACACTTCCCATCGTCCTCTCTGATTGCATCTTCTGGGCACAGGCTAGATTTGATCATCCTTTGTTCCCACCTCCTTCCACTCTGCACTTAACCTCCTCTCTAATTCCATCAGTGAACTGGTTTTCCGGCTCCAGTGAATGCTTTGGAAAGTCCTCCTCTTGTTTTTCTCAATTAGTGAGAGGCATGACTTGTTGAGCAGTCTTGGCCTATTCTTTCTCAGCCTATTTTAGTATCTCCCGCCCTTTGTTTATTCATTTTTAAAGATTTATTTGTTTGTTTGTTTATTTATTTATTTATTTATTTATTTGACACAGAGAGAGAGTGAGCACAAGGAGGGGGGATGGCAGAGGGAGAGGGAGA